TCACTCCCATTACAACAGCTCTTATTTGAGATATTCATTAATTGGCCTCTATACCAACTCGAAGTGTTAAATCACTTAAAGAAAAACTTCGCCTTAACAACCTAATCAGAATCGACGCAAACATAACCCTTGACCTGGAGGTTGCAGCGATAATCAATCCCACATCCTGGTAACACATCTGCATAAAATTTGATATGGCGCTTCTGACGAGATATTTGATGACTCTGTTTAGATGAATTGAATGGAATTGTATATTGTAACGATACCTAGCTAATCTGTCAAAAGCTGACACTTCAGCTGTAATCAACGACACTGACAAGCGGTGACAAAGGCTTCCCAAGGTATTGGAAATGCAGACTACCGCATACAAGGAAACCTATCAGAATCTTGACGTCATTTCCTTCATTACTTGTTGTTAGGAGGATTCACGGATTGCAGAGCTTTTCGCAGAACCGAGGGACGGCCTTTGTAGGACGTGGAGGTCTGAGGTATGGATGCACGTCGTTTGGCCTCTAGGCGTTTCAAAGCTGCTTGACGGTTTCTTTCGATCCGTGCTGCAACATCCTCCCTCTCTTCCGTTGAGGTGGGGAGCACGGGAGAATGAGTTGGCAGAGGGGAAGGTGATTTCGGAGACTCTGAACCGTCATCGGGGAGCTGCAGTAACTCCCGCATGGTCTCACTTAGCGGTAGATTGGCTGAAGACAGTGGTACCTCGTTCTCCGAATTACTGTCACTGGTATCATGGACAAATTCAGAGATGATTGTTGGTGGCCACGTCCCGACCCGCATACCGCTCAGAGCTGATTGAACTTCTCGTTTGGAGCCTACAGCCTCTAGTCGTTCTATCACATCCACGAAAGAGAATTTTGGCAACATTCGATTCGCCCATGACTCATAGATGAACATCAACTTATTCAGGTCTTCAAACTACCCAGGAGAGATGCATTAGGGATACCAGTCGTTTTACCTCATGTCCACGACCTCGGAACCGGACATTTTCGAATTCCTTCAAGAGAGCCGGAAGACCGCGTTCACCAAGAAGACTTAAAAGGAG